TTTAAGCTGAAAATGAGCTGCCAGTTATTTTTCTCTAAAAATAATAATGGTTTATCTGAAGGGAGACATATTGTATATTTAGAGCACCCTCCAACAGTCCTGTGAGATCCCTGGAGAAAGCTATGCTTAAGAACAGTGAGGCAAAAAAACAGGGTCTTTTCAATGGTAGCACCAGTACCTTGGAATGGCAGTCTGAACTCAGTGTAATATTTTTTAAGAGGCATTATAAGACATTTTTTTCAAAACCATTTTACAGTATTCAGGAGTCATTGCTTTGCAGATGAGTGGTGGAATTGTTTATTTGCAGTATTATAAGCTACTCTGTATTCTGTTGAACTTTGGCAGGAGGGAAATTGATATCTGATGAGAAAGCAAGGAGGAAAGGTCTGCTTCCCAAGCTTGTTTCCCTGCTAAATATAGATGGAATCTGTAAATTTTTTGGGAATTCCTCAGCAATGGTAATACTTACCAAATATGTTATCTGTGGTGTGAGAACGTAAAGGAATTGTTTGAAATTCCTTGGCCAGGAAGTAGGCTCCTCTGTTGGAGAACAGAAACACTTCCGTGCACTCACTGGTGGGTGGCGTTCTTCCACTTTCTGGCCACTTCTTGTGGAACACTGGAAGTGGCCTCCTAGTGAGTCAGATCATTGGTGCATCTATGTCAGCACTGCCCAGCTGGAACTCACCAGGGTTTCAAGCAGGATTTTTTTCCAGGTCTGCTCAGAAATGTCAGGTGGTGTCTGTTATGCTGAGCACCGGCCCTGTCTCGTCAAGCCTTCTGTCCCCACAGTCACCAAACAAATACCAGTAGGAGGTTGCCAAGCAGGATGTGAATTCATTAGGCATTATGACTATCATAGTCTCATCCTGGACAAGGACGGTGGAGGAGCACGCCTCCCTGAAATGGAGGAATGGCCCCATACCTTCAGGAAGGGCTATACTTGCAGTGGGGGTGGGGGGTGGAGGTGAATGAGCAGAGCATCACCTGCAGCACTTTGTATTCTAGCTGTTGCTACTTGTGCCTGATTTTTTAAAGGGGTGACAAACATCTGTGCTTCATTAATAGGATTTTTTCCCTAAAGGTTGTGGCACAGTTCGAAGTTAATTGCTCTTAAGTTCCACTTGTTTCATTGACACTATTTAACTCAGTGTGTTCACTTTCCCATTGATGCCACTAGGACAAACAGACAGCTTTTGCCTGGGATCCAGAGAATTGCACATCCAAGGATGGTTAGTGCTTGCATTTCTGGAGCAACAGGGCCTCTTTCTCAGACCACATGGCATGTGGGGGAGCGGGAATTAATGCCTGAGGTTCCTGTTCCTGTTCCTTCTCCTAAGAGCAATGTTGTATTCACTCAGCATGTCCCTGTTGAAAACCAGTCTTGAACTATTTATCATACTGTACAATCCATTTCAGTTTCAGCATACCTCAGAATAAATTTTGCATTCTGCTTATAAGCCATATAAGTTTACGTTGTATAAATGTATTTCATCTAAACTCTGCTTTAATTCAGATGACCATCAGGTATACTACTGCATGCAAGAATCTGTCAGAAGAAATGGAGTAGCCTTCATAGTCGGTAAAAGAGTAGGAAAAGCAGTACTGGGATACAATCTCCAAAATGAAAGAATGATCTCAGTTTGAATCCAAGGCAAACCATTCAACATCACAGTAGTCCAAGTCTATGCCCCAACCACTGGTGCTGAAGAGGCTGAAGTTGACCGGTTCTATGAAAGCCTACAACACTTTCTAGAATTAACACCCAAAAATGATGTCCTTATCATCATGGGGGATTGGAATGCTAAAGTAGGAAGCCAAATGATAACCGGAATAACAGGCAAGTTTGGCCTTAGAGTACAAAATGAAGCAGGGCACAGACTGGTAGAATTTTGTCAAGAGAATACGATGGTCATAGCAAACACTCTTTTCCAACAACCCAAGAGACAGCTCTACACATGGACATCACCAGACGGTCAACACAGAAATCGGACTATTTGCTCTGCAGCTAAAGATGGAGAAGCTCTATACAGTGAGTAAAAACTAGACCAGGAGCTGACTGTGGCTCAGATCATGAGCTTCTGTTTGCAAAATTTAGGCTTAAATTGAAGAACGTAGGGAAACGCACTAGGCCACTCAGGTATGACCTAAATCATATCCCTGATGAATATACAGTACAGATGAGATGACAAATAGATTTAAGGAATTAGATCTGATACACAGAGTGCCTGAAGAACTATGGATGGAGGTTTGCAACATTGTACAACAGATAGCAACTAAAACCATCCCAAAGAAAAAGAAATGCAAGAAAGCAAAATGGTTGTCTGAGGAAGCTTCACAAATAGTTGAGGAAAGAAGGGAAGTGAAAGGCAAGGGAGAAAAAGAAAGATACACCCAATTGAATGCAGAATTCCAGAGAACAGCTAGAAGAGATAAGAATGCCTTCTTAAATGAACAGTGCAAAGAAATAGGAGAAAACAACAAAATAGGGAGGACCAGAGATCTCTTCAAGAAAATTGGAGATATGAATGGAACATTACATGCAAAGATGGCCATGATGAAGGACCAAAATGGCAGGGACCTAGCAGAGGCAGAAGAAATTAAGAAGAGGTGGTAAGATTACACAGAAGAACTATACAAGAAAGAGCTTAATGTCCCTGATAACCCCGATGGGGTGGTCACTTACCTCAAGCCAGACATCCTGGAATGTGAAGTCAAATGGGCCTTAGGAAGTCTGAGCAACAACAAAGCTAGTGGAGGTGACAGTATTCCAGCTGAGCTATTCAAAATTTTAAAAGATGATGCAGTAAAAGTGCTACACACAATATGCCAGCAAATTTGGAAAACTCAACAGTGGCCACAGGATTGGAAAAAGTCAGTTTACATTCCAATCCCAAAGAAGGGCAATGCCAAAGAATGTTCAAACCGCACCATTGCACTCATTTCACATGTTAGAAAAGTTATGCTCAAAATCCTACAAGCTAGGCTCCAGCAGTATGTGGACCGAAAACTACCAGAAGTACAGGCAGGATTTCGAAGAGGGAGAGGAACTAGAGATCAAATTGCCAACATACACTGGATCATGGAGAAAGCTAGGGAGTTCCAGAAAAACATCTACTTCTGCTTCATTGACTATGCTAAAGCCTTTGATTGTGTGGATCACGACAAATTGTGGCAAGTTCTTAAAGAGATGGGAGTACCTGACCATCATATTTGTCTCTTGAGAAACCAATATGAGGGTCAAGAAGCAACAGTGAGAACTGGACACGGAACCACTGACTGGTTCAAAATTGAGAACCACTGATTGGTTCAAGGCTGTATACTGTCACCCTGCCTATTTAACTTATATGCAGAGCACATCATGAGAAAGGCAGGGCTAGATGAATCACCAGTTGGAATTAAGATTGCTGAGAGAAATATCAACAACCTCAGATATGCAGAGGATAACACTCTCATGGCAGAAAGTGAAGAGGAACTAAAGAGCCTCTTGATGCGGGTGAAGGAGGAGAGTGCAAAAGTTGGCTTGAAACTCAGCATTAAGAAAACTAAGATCATGGCATCTGGTCCTCTCACTTCCGGGCAAATAGATGGGGAAGAAATGGAGGTCGTGACAGATTTTATTTTCCTGGGCTCCAAGAGAACCGCAGATGGGGACTGCAGCCAAGACATTAAAAGACGCTTGCTCCTGCAGAGGAAAGTTATGACAAATCTAGACAGCATCCTAAAAAGCAGCGACATCACCCTACCAACAAAAGTGCATATAGTCAAGGCTATGGTTTTCCCAGTTGCATGTGGGAAAATGTGGCTGTGAAAGCTGGACCATAAGGAAGGCTGAGTGCCGAAGAATTGACGCCTTTGAATTGTGGTCTGGCGTTGACTCCTGCGAGTCCCTTGGACAGCACAGTGATCAAACTGGTCAGTCCTAGAAGAGATCAACCCTGACTGCTCTTTAGAAGGCCAGATCCTGAAGATGACACTCAAATACTTTGGCCACCTAATGAGAAGGAAGGACTCCCTGGAGAAGAGCCTCATGCTGGGAACAATAGATGGCAAAAGAAGAAGGGGACAGCAGAGGATGAGGTGGCTAGATGGAGTCACTGAAGCAGTTGGTATGAGCTTGAGTGGACTCTGGGGATGGTGGAGGACAGGAAGGCCTGGAGGAATGTTGTCCATGGGGTCATGATGGGTCGGACACGACTTCACGACTAACAACAACAAACTCTGCTCTGACCCTTATTGTGAAGGACTGTCAAAATGTAAAATCCACGAACACTCGCAAGACTTGCACCTTGCAAATTATTTAAATTATTTTTCTTCATATATATCAATATATTCCATTGGGACTAGATATTTAAGTGTTCCTTCCAATCCAGACATTTCATGCTGGAACTTGTCCTGCAAGTTGCAGAGTTTATTTTGTAAAAGTTTCATGAACTTTGTTTTAATTTTAGTTGCAGAACTTTCTTGGCTACACGCTTACAGTGCATGTTTACTTCTTGTATCTTCCAAATGGCTACCATTGAAATAATGATCTTTGATATCAGTAATTGTATTTTATAAATAAATTGCAACATAAAATTTCTTCTTGTGATCCTGCTTTCCAAGCTTGTCTTTCTGCTTAATAATAGGAATCAGGAAATTATAGTTGAAAGCTGGCTTTTATTTAATAGTGTTTGAAGGGCGGTAAAAGATAAATTATACCAAGAGGACTGGATTTCTTTTGAAGAGGAAGTAAAGGATGCCAGACAAGACTAGAAACTTCTGGCTTCTTTAACCTTTTTCTGTAAGGAAATGTGCCTTTCTCCATTTTGCTTTCAAAAAGGAAATAGATTTGTGGTGGTGTGGTTGGGAGAACCTTTCACTTTCTATCTGGTGGTACTGTAGCCTTTAAACCAAGGAATAAGAGGCCAACACTGCATGACTAATTATGCCAAGCAATAGAGTCTTTCAGGATCACAGAATGAAATTGACCAGCTATTTGTGTGTGTGTTTAATTGCAGGTGTCAGAAACTATTTGAAAGAAGCCTTAGTACATATAATCGCTGTACATGCTGAGGTGAGATGATTTCAGGTTGTCCATGATTTAAGCAAAAATATCACTGGAATTACAAGTTTGGTATTTAAGAAAAGCATATCTTTTTCAAGTGTGAAAAGTAACTCAAAAGCTATACTAAGCTGGACGGTAATCCAGTATTTAATTGGTAGGTTATGACTATGATCTGTCATGAGACAGGCTATCCCAGCAGGACTGCTGTCCCAGCAGTTTTTTTTTTTTTTTTTTGTGGGGGGAGGGGGGAGGAAGGAGATGAGAAGGAAGAGAGCTGGCCCAGATAGAAGAAAAATAGCATTTTGTTGTAGTTCCCCACTTGTTTTAGTTTGATAGCTCAGAGTGTTAATTCTGAAGACAACTTTGCAGGCTTTTAACCCTTTGCAGGTTTTTAACACTGCGGTGTTTAATTTGCCATTTGCAGGTATTCACCATTTCAAAAGAGCTCGTGCAGCGAGTGCTTTCAAGGATTGTTGAAGCTGTTGCTGAAGAACTCAGCAGACTAATGCAGTGTGATTTATCCTTCAGTAGAAATGGTGCTTTGCAGGTAGCTGGATTTTAGAACTGCTGAGATATATAATATTTCTCTCCTACAAACTTGGGGTTCCATTTTTTTCTCCTTAATAGACTTCTTGTTGGGTATCAGGGAGATGGAAATAACAATGGTGTGAAAATTCAGGATGGTTACAAATGAAAGACTAGGCCTGGATCTCTTATACGTATTCATCTGGATACACCACTTAAATTTAAAGTCATTTCTTCACCCAGAGAACTCTGGGAACCATCATTGAGGAGAAGCAAGTAGATGTCTTAATAACATTCTCTGTAACCTCACCAAACAATACTTCCAGGCATTCTGTTAAATTGGTGCCAAAATGATTACAAATAGTATGGTTGATGGAAGGGTGAGGTAGATGCATTTCTGGGTCAGTTTAAATGTACATCCATCTGCTTGGGGCTTACAACATGTGTTAGGACTTACTCAAGGAGCTGCTTTTCACTCCTGGGGTGAATGATGGGATCTTTGGAAGACAAGTTTATTTCATTATTTGTAGACAGCTTTACAGAATTGGAAAATTGATAAATACTGTAATTAAAATAAAAAGTGGGTATTTTAGAAAGGTAGGTGCTACTATCTTTTGTAAGTACCCCTTGGTTAGCTGCTTGTATCCCGTGTAATCCTATAGTGATGTATCCTGGTACTTGTGAAGACTTGGGTGTGCATCCTGCATCTTTTTTCTAGGCATCAGAGAATGGACAAAAGAAAGAGAATGGTTATTCGAAAAGGCCAGCACTTGGGCCTTATCCAAGGGAAGCCAGACAACTAGTGGAAGTATATGGTACCTCTTAGGCTTATCCAAAGAAACCTTGCATCATTCTCAGATAAGACCTGCAACAAACAGCCAGGAAAATCAAGCTTGCTTGCTCGCTCATTCATTCATTCATTCATTCATTCATTCATTCATTCATTCATTCTTATACCGCCCAATAGTCGAAGCTGTTAGGGTGCTTTTGAGCGATCCATTAAAACACAATCTAAAATATACCACAGTAGAAAAACATTGGGGAGTAGGGAATTGCTATAGAAAAAATTAAAACCACATATAAAAGTGCAGCCAAGTTTCTTGTGTCCAGTAGTCTTGAAATTTTTCCTCTTCACCAGGACAGCAGTAGTAGAACAGCAGCTGCTTGGTTATCTAGGATTTATTAATCTGTGTGATTGTTATGAAGTCATTCTGTAGAAATATAACTTGCACTTCCCTGTCACCCTGCAGTTCTTACATGGAAATCCATATAAAGCATCTGTGATAGAGCTGCAGATTTTCTCTAGACTGGGGAAAGCCCTTCCTAGTAGGTCTTGTACATGCCATCTGTACATCTAAAAGGAAAGAGAGCTCTCTAGAATATCTGTTTTCACTTCTGTTTTTATTTTTGTTGTGATCCTTATCACAGAACAAGATGAAGTGACTATCCCCAAATGTTGGGGCCTTTTAAAAACTTTAAGGTAGGGTTCACAGTGAAGTGTTCATTGGTGCCAGGGCCCACCAGTATCGCTAGTGCTGTCTCACCATGAGGCCTGCAAGCACTGCAATTTTTAATTTTGATTTTCTTTCTGTAAGTACATGGATTTGTTTGAAATCCATGAACTTGCTAGCAATTAAACAGACTCCAACACAAATGGACTAAATATGCAAGTGAGTATGCATCAGAAGAAGGGGGCTATATGACACCCATTTATATACCAAAAAGTATTTTAACCCTTAATCCATTGCAATGTAGGAGGTGTTTATCCTTCCAATATTGTAGTATCAGTGTTCTGTATGTTTTTCTTTTACTGCTGTTACTTGATTGTTATATTGTATTTTTATTCTGTTTCTACTGTTACAATTTTTCTGCTGTAATCTGCTTAGAGAGTCCCATTAGACTAGTAACGTGAAATGCAAGTCAAATAAATAAATAAATATTTTGGCTGTCAAAAGTGCAGAGAAAATTCATTTACGCTGACCATTTGTTAATTCCAATGAAGCAGGTAAATTATTTAAAAGAGTGTGTTAAATTAAAGGACGCTCCACTACATTTATCCACATAATAACCTTCTCTTTAAAAGAAGCAGCTACTAGACATTGCCAAAACATTTGTTTAAAAGAACCATTAGTTGATACTGTACCATCAGCAATGAGCTGCATTAGAAGCTTATTAAAGAGACGTCATGTCCTACAGACAGGAAACCAAAAAAATGCCGAAGAAGATGCAGTCTTGAAGAAGATCCAGGCACAGGATCCGCTGATAAATTATTTTGTGGTAGTGCCCACAGCAGCTTCTTGCATTCCCAAGTATGCACATGGACCCCAAAAGTTGGAGACTTCTGCTTAAAGTTGCTTGCCTGTAAAGTAGTAAAGTCAAAACATTCTTAGTGGAGAATGAACACTATTGTTGTTGATACTTTTCAGCAGCAGTAGAAAAGAAAAGAGCAAGATACATATTGACAGAATGAACCCTCTTGCACTTCCTTCCTCTTTGGTAACATTGTGTACTAAGCCAGAACCTCCCTAGTAAAAGGTGAAAAAAACTCTCAAGTGCAAGTAAGTTTTCAAGATTCTTGCTTTACAGGACCGAAAATAACTTAATCAATCTACATTTGCAATCTTGAGGGTTTCTGATTTTCAGATTTCCTGAACTTCCCACATCCATAATTAGCCTTCCAGCTGTTTCATGCCAAGCAGAAGAAATAAAAGGTTCAGATCTCTCAGAAACGGCTTGTCGCTGTACCACCAGTAGCTTCGTTTTGTTTGTGCAAACAAGATTCTGGACCTTGTGAAATCAGAGGCTGGGGATACTGCTTATACTTGAATGCTTCTGTCTTCTAGGCCCGGCTTGAAATTTGTGCACTGAGAGATGCTGTAGCTGTATACCTCACATCTGAAAGCAAGTAAGTATGAAGAGGCTTACAGGTTTTTCTTTAACAGTTGAGAACTTCACCAGCTGTGCAGAAAACTTTAAAGGGCCTGCATAGTTTTCTCATTTGAAGAGGGCAGTCTGACAGCAGGGAAGGCACCTCCTCATGGGTGGTATTCCTTGGAACAGTGGTAACAGCAGCGAGTAGAGGCTTACCTGGACCAGGCGGCCTTGTCTTAATGGGGCAGAATACCGTCTTCTTGGGAATTTCCAACAAAGGGATTCCCAGTCCACTGTCCCTCCCCGTGTCCCTGTGAAAAAAAATAAAACTACTTCTCAGGGGGAGAGGTTTTAGATTCTATCTGAATTCCAATTTCTTTTTCCTGGATAACTGCTGTAGCCTCAGCCATGCAGGTAGAAGAGCAGTGTGCCTCCCTCTGTTGGCTGGGTAGGGAATGCTTGGCGCAATGGTACATCTTTCTAGCTAGGAGTGCCCCACTCCCCCCAATCTTTGCAGTAAGAAACACTTTTTTGGCATGGGCTGTGCAGCATCAGCACACAATTTGTACACAGACACACCACCCAAGGGGCAGGTAGCAGAGCTAACTTTGCACCTGCTGGATGCAATGGCACTGTGGGCAGCTGCGTGTGATTTGCTCACTGCAGTCATCACCTTCATCCCACCAGGAAGTATCAGTTAAATTGTTCCAGACAGCCGCCCACCCCAGCAGCCAGTGAATGTTCCTTCTCGGCGGGAGGCGGCCTGGCTTTCCACACCTTGCACCCAACCCACTTTCTCCAGTCATGCTCCTGTAATTCTAAGTAATTGAGGTTGGTAGCAAATCCTGTCCCTTCCCCAAGGCAGATCTAATAAAAGGAAGCAAAAGTATATTGCAGACATGGATCTTGCCACTGTTCCCACTGCAAGAGTCTGTGGTCTAAGCCCTACCGTTGTACCAGAGTCAGCTCTGAACATTCTGTGAAGAGAGAGGACCTAGTTCCTCATCCAAATTTAGTGTGCAGGTCAGTTTTTCAGACTGCCTGACAAGAAAGAGAATCGCTTCTCCATCTAACCTTCCAATCCATGTATTCCCCACCAGGATACACGGGGGAGGTCCCGCCTAAGTCTGATTTTGCTGGAACTGCAGCAGGTCACCTAGATACTCTGACCTGAGGATTTGGCTAGCCCTGCCTGCTCCACATCCATGAGATGTTTTGAAGGAAAGTGAGCTTTTGGGAGAAGTGACTGGGCAGCCAGCTGGTCAAGACTGGCCTTTTCCAGCAGACTTCCTGTCCTGCCTATCAGGACCTTGCAAACCATTCAGCACTCCTGAACCAGATGCCTCCAACAGTCCCAGTCCAGAGCTAGTGCTGTTCATTTTTCCTCCTCTTGAAGCCAGAATCCAGCTGGATCCTTCCCTGGAGTTCTTTAATGTTGTGGCTGCTGACAGATGAAGCAAACTGCCCAGGGCCAGGATTCCTTTTTGCTCCTTTTACATTCTTTTTGGAAGCTGTACGTTGTTCAGGGTCTGGGTTTTCCCATTGCTTCTGATGGTAGTGAAGATGCCTTGCACAAAGCCTTCATGATTTGCCAGCAACTGTTAATAGTTTGTGTGTGTGTGCGTGTGGGTGCACACCAGTGCCAGAGGGGTGACAATCTAGGCTTAGCAGCCTTCTAAATGATACAGAAATTGAGGCTTCTGAGGCAAGCGAGAAGCAAGAGAACAGTGTCATGAGCTAGGTTTCTTCCCTTTGCACACTCAAAGTCACAGACCTTGCTTGCGAGGCATTCTTTATTGACCAAAGCTTTTTCCAGAAGCACAAACACAGAGAATGACTCTCAGAGCATGCACAGAGCAATTCATTGAACCCAATCTAGTATGTACTCCTTGTGAGTATGTTTGGGTCCCATCCTTTCAGGAAAGGCCTTTTGGAAACGAGCATGCCTCCTCTCTGATCCTCTAATTGATCTGCCTTCCTCTGCCTATATCATGTCATGGGGTGAAGACCTGCATCCACCTCACCTGTCTCTGGGAAGCTCCCCTGTTTCAAGTTCTCTTCCAATAACTGTACATCTTGGTTATTCCCAGAGACTGCCTCCCCACCTGTGGATCTGACCTTGAGATAAGCGCCTCTGCTTCCCTCATCTCAATGTTTGCAGTTGGTCCACATTCCAAGGCCACCGCCACCTCTGAGTCCCACTCAGCCTTGTAAATGCACATGAAGCGCAACTCTCTTTCTTCCTCGCAACATATAAACGGTTTGATTCTATCATGAGGTTCAGACAGTAACATCTTCCAGGTTGCACCCCTGTACCTAAGAGGGCCTGTATTCTGCACCATTCAAAAGTATTTTTTCCAGCCTCAAGCCCTAAGAGTGTTTCTTGCTTAACAATTCAGTCAACTGTATCCCTGTCACTGCTTGTGAGACTTATGAGTCTGAGCATAAGTGGGAGGATCACTCGTCTCCTGCTCACTTGAGTGTGCTTTCTGCAGTGATGTGAATTTACTATGGAGAGAGAAAAGGTTTTTGGGAAAAAATATCCAAAATGGAAATTTTTTGTGAAAGGACAGGATTTGTAACAGTTTGAAATTCTCCAGCAGCCTTTGATTTTTGACATACCCTTGCACCTTTGTGTGACCAAATAATATTACATATTTGTCTGAGTTTGTCAGGAATGATCAAGGGGCTAAATTTCTGACAGCATTCACAAGTCAACTGCGGAATCCGACTGGGTAAGGGTACAGTCCTATGGACATTTGGGAGTGGGAAAGCCCTACAACTCCCAACAGGGCTGGCTGGGGAATGCTGAGAGATGTAAGACTTCTTTCTAATGAATAGGATTGCATACTAAATTGTTTACTGGAAGGGTTGGTCTGCCTTCTCTAAACAGTTGGCCATCTTCTCTAGCAAAAGCACAAATTATGATGCTGCCATAGTTGCTACACTACACATGAAGTATTTGCGCTTGGGCATTGTCTGATTTTGAAAACATACAACTTCTCCTTGTACTGCAAATATTTAATAAAGATTTTAAAATATCTGGCATTCAGAAGCAATGCAAGGTAGAAGCAATGCTCAGTGGATTCTTATTAGGCTCTCATTCCTACACATCAGTCAAGATACCATGATGAGAGAGGATAGTTGTTCATTTTGTTTTGCTCAGCCTTTTTATGTTGAGTGCACCTCTGTTGTCATATGAAAGCAACGGCTCCATCACATTATCTACCTGATTCTTTCTGTGGAAGCCCTCCATTTAAAATTTTAAAATGGCTATTTATTATTAAAGGGTAAGATGTGGAAGTTTTCACAGAGAAACTATTGCTTAAAAATTGAATGGTGAGAAAAAGACTCAGAGGTGAACATGAATAATTATTTAGCTAAATGGTTATGTTCAGCAGATACTGCATCCTGTATCTTCACCTGCACACTGCAGACTGGGAACCAAGCACTATGGGAAAGCATTACAAACAGAGACATTTTGCTCATGTTAACATGTTTTTTGGCAATTTTAGAGAGTAAATTTTAATATCACAGCAACATATGCATACTTATACAACCCACATAATTGAAAAACAGATCTGCATGTACAGAATCCTAGGGCCATCAGGTCCAACCTCCTGCTCAGAGCAGGACTCTGAGTTAATCCATCCCTCGCAGAGGGCTGTCTTGAATGCCTTTAATTTGTGAGAGCCCACAACCTCCTAGGTCATTGGTTCCATGCTAACATAATTTAACTGTTTGTAGAGGTTAGGAGTAAAAAGATGTCTTTGAATCTTGTATAAGTGTATGTTTAATGTTACAGCTCAAGCTTTAAGCAGGCTCTTGAAGCTTTGCCTCAGCTGTCAAGTGGTGGAGATAAAAAGTAAGTTTGTTTCCTCAGTCATTTAGAAGGTGTGTTCTGTGAACAGTAGATAATTCAGAGTGCCAGAAATTATTGCATAAGAATAATCTCTGGCATTTAATATTTTTGGTCCAAACTTGGTAAACTTTCTGCTGCTGGTGATGGTTTTGCTGTGGCACTCATTATATACATGTTTTATATGGTCCTGGTGCTTTTTCTCTTTGCAAGAACTCAGTGCAGTAGGTTAGGCAACAAGTAGTTTAGGCAGGTGGGCACATTTGGAATTGTGCATGTGTCTTTGGCATTTTTACCAAATGGCTGTAATGGTGGGGAGTCCAACCATTCTTAAAAATGCTCATCATGGTGGACTTGGCTGGTCAGAAAACACTCATGGTTTGGCCAGCTGGGGAGTCTAAGAGAGAAGAAACTTGACCAGGACCCTAAGTAAAAGGCAGACCTCCAAAACATACAACCATTCTTTTGAACCGAAATAAAGATGGTGCTGATCAGGCCTGTTTCTCTCCGCAACATACAAGCCACCCAGTTAATATTTTTAGTTATCCACCCTCCCCCCCCCTCAATTTTTTTTCAAATAAAAATCAGCAAAGGCATTAAAAGTGGTAGGCAGCAAGGGAGGTGTCCCTGGATACAACATGGAAGGCCCCAGAGTTAGTCTAATAGTTACTAGACAGTGCAACACCATTAGCAGAGATCTAACTCTTGAGTTCCCCACATCCAAATGCGACACCTTATCCACTTCACCAGAGTGGCACCCAAACCCATATTTTCCTATTGTGTCTAACTTGTGCAGAGATGGAGGTTTTCTTTTAGATGTTGAACGTCCAGCAAATTAAATGTCCAGATGTAATGCTGGGATTGGAGGTGCTTCCAGCTGCCTCCACAAAGAAGTTCAAGTAACAGTCAGCATACCAAAAACACTGCTGAGTTTCTTACGGCTGTCAGGCTCAAGCAATGAAGCGATACCACTGCTGCTTACTTGCCTATATACACTGCTGTTACATCTGCAATCTCACCACACACTTCATTGCAAATAATGAATTCAAATTTATGGAATGATTTAGTCCTGTTCCTGTTGCCAGTGACATATTATATTTAATATTGACTTATTAAATATTGACTGTGTGTGGTTGCTGTACGGGTACCCTTTATGGTTCAGGGTGTTATTGAGGAAGTAGATACTGACATGTTTATGCCTTTTACTTGCTGGCCCTGGCAAAGATTATGCAGCTGTAGAATTTACTGCACTATTAAATACTTCACTTTTTTCAAGAGGAAATTGGTAGTGGTTGCCTAAAGTCTAAGTCAACCTTTTAAATATAAAAATATGTGGTTTCTTCTCTCTTCTTTCCTAAAGTATTGAGGGTTCCACTTCTCTTTGCTCCTTAATACTTATCCATTAAAAAGGGGAAAGGAACCAAATCTTAAGAATTGTATTTGACATTAAAGACATTTCCCCTCTTTCGGGTTCACTATCTGCCAATATGATAATCTTTTACCAGCATATTTAGCAGATCTTTGATTTACCCGATGAGTAAACACTGTAGTAAAAGGAAAAGAAGGCAGCACTGCGCTAGAACCCAAACGGGTTCAGTACCTGGTTGTGCCATATAGTTAGTATAAACCAGAAGTTAGTGAGTCAGCAATTATTTGTGTGCATTTAGCCTGCAATCCTACACACTGAGTAAGCACTGGAACAAATCAAGTGTACATTCTAGTCTGTGTGAATAAACATCAAGCACAAAACGTCTTTTACTAAATAGGGAAAAGCAATCATTTCCCCCATTTTTTGAATGATATGATATTCTTCAGAAAAAGACATATTACTGCAAAATAACAGCCATATTGTTCTTGTAATTTTATTTTGAAGATATCCAAGGGCAGCCACTAAATCTTCATCACCCAGAAATGTTTGTGTATGCATGAACCCCTAGTAAGCATTCATAGAGTCAGATAATGAGCTGCATCCAGTATTACATGAGATCCATTCCTTTCATGCAATAAACCTTCCCTTCCCTTCCCTTCCCTTCCCTTCCCTTCCCTTCCCTTCCCTTCCCTTCCCTTCCCTTCCCTCTGGCCCCCAAGTCTGCTCCAGAGACACCCCCCATCTCCATATATACTGTTTTTATGGTGCATGACAAACCTGTCTCCACTCCTACCAGTTTCATCCCCCATTCCCTGGGTCTATAAACTCTGTTGATGCTTTCCTTGCTTAAAAAGCATATTGTCCAGATAAATGACTGTCTTAAAATATTTTCCCTTTATAACAGGCTGCTGGAAGAGCTGCTAAACACATTCAGGAGTAGCATGCAGTTACAGCTCACCTGCTTTCAGGCTGCTGCTTCCACAATGGTGAAGACCTAAGGCAACTTGAAACACAGTCATTTCTTGAAAAGGAAATCATAAATCCCATCCCTTGATACTGTATTTGCTCTTGACATGCCATTGTATTTTATTTGCTCTTCAGAGTGCTGACAGCTGTATTTGTTTATTTGTATGAATTGCATCTCTTGAATCAAGACTCCAAACTAAAACATGTTGTTTACTTAGCTTGTCACTCAACAAGTCTTTGTTAAAAGACTTGTTCCCAGAAGGAATGAGAAACAAGAGTTTTTTTGTTGGGAGTATGTGATGAAAATATGCTACATGCCAACTTCAGATGCCAGTTTAGCACAGTCTCTCTGTAACTGTTTTGGCAGGGCTGACTGTATGCATCATCCTACCAAACATTTAGGGCAGTTCTAGCACTTTCCCATTTCTCCAGATTTCAAGCCACAGCAAATGCCTCTTAGCATACAGATCACTGACTTACTGAGTGGCAACATACACACGATGGCCATTCCCTTTACTCACCAGTAAGAAGCCTGCATCTCATCTGGATACACCCATGACTTCAATGTGATGGTCTGCCTGTACCAGAGACTGCTTGGATTGGAGCGGAACTCCATCAATTAAGTTACGACATGGATGCCTTGCAGGGGCATGGTGAACAAAGCTCTCAGGATTTTATTGTCTAATAAATATAGGTGTGTACTTATGCCTTAATGTGTGAAAAATTAAATTGGGCTGGGTGGCCCTCTCACTCTCCTAGCAAAAAGAGACAAGGACAAAACTTGAGACACTGAACTGGAGGATGATCATCTTGAGCTGGTAGAACCTTGTGTTATCGCCTAGCCTAGAATCACCATCTTGAATCCTGGAGCAGGGCCTGCCTGTACTGACACTCGGCTCCTCTCCACACGTTCGCTGCAGGCCCAGTGCCACCTGGCCCTACCAGTGCAGTGTGGTGGACCAGGGAGCCAACAACTGCCTCAACTTAGGTAACTCCGCTCAGGAGGGGGAAAGTAAGAGTTGCCTCCCATGCTTGTGTGTGGTGATGTGAGAGGCTGGGGCGGCAGCACAGCTCTCGACCCTTTCCAGCGCTGTCAGCACCACTCAGTCAGCCTGCTTGCCCTTGAGACTGACACCTGCCTCAGCACCACCTCAAGCCCATCAGCTTCTGGCAGTGGAGTGGGGTGCTGAGGGCAGCCATTCCAGAGCACTCCAGCTGCAACAAAACTGGGCCTGGTTACTTTTCCCACACTAGACTTTTACATACAGGTCTGTTTGGACTCACTTCGGTGGTGGAGGGGCTACTTGAAGTGCCTAACTTAGTTGCTTATCGCTTTCAGAATTGAACACACATACATTTACGTGCTGGTATGAAAACCAAATAGTGACCTATTTCTAAGCAGTAGGGTTTACTTCATGCTAAAGTTTATTAGCCAGCTGCCTTTCTTGGTGTCCTTTCAATATAGTAAATGTATGAAAAGCATCTGAAAACTTGGTGTGATAGCCTGCTGCTTCTTAAGGGTACAGGGAACCCAGGTGCAAGTCAGTAGGAGAGGCAAATGAGATCCAGCAGTGACTTTCGAAGTATAGTTGTAGTTTCTGATATTACAGTATCTGTACCATGGTTCAGAGATGAGCTATATTATGAATTTGCTGAGCTTTTTCATGACTAACTAAGTATTCTCCCATAATTGGGGCAAACATGTATAATTATTAGATTGTAGCTAAACTTATTCTAAAATCAGTTTGTCAGTGTGTTATTTATATTAATATTAATGCCTATGGATAAACATAACATTATGTGTGAGTCTGGGTTAACATGAATGTGTTAATCCATTGTGGTATCAGATGCTTTCTCCATTAACTAGCCCAAGTTGAAATACATGAGACTGCAATTCTATAATCTGGTATGTGTGTATTTTAGTTGTGAAGTCATGCCCAACCCATCACGACCCCATGGACAACATTCCTCAAGGCCTTCCTGTCCTCCACCATCCCCCAGAATCCACCTAAGCTCACACTAACTGCTTCAGTGACTCCATCTAGCCAGCTCATTCTCTGCCATCCCCTTTTTCTTTTGCCATCTGTTGTTCCCAGCATTAGGCTCTTCTCCAGAGAGTCCTTCCTTCTCACTAGGTGGCCAAAGTATTTGAGTTTCATCTTCAGGATCTGGCCTTCTAAAGAGCAGTCAGGGTTGATCTCCTCTAGGACTGACCGGTTTGATCACCTTGCAGTCCAAGGGACTCGCAGGAGTCTTCTTCAGGAGTCCTCAATTCTCCAGCATTCAGCTTTCCTTATGGTCCAGCTTTCACAGCCATACATTGCAACTAGGAAAACCATAGCCTTGACTATACAAACTTTAGTCGGCAGGATGATGTCTCAGCTAGTTAGTATACTGTCTAGATATGCCATAGCTTTCCTCCCAAGGAGAAAGTGTCTTTTGATTTCTTGGCTGCAGTCACCATTTGCAGTGATCTTGGAGCCCAGGAAAATAAAATCTGTCACTACCTCCATTTCTTCCCCATCTTTTTGCCAGGAAGTGAGAGGACCGGATGCCCTGATCTTAGTTGTCTTAATGTTGAGTTTCAAGCCAACTTTTGTGCTCTCCTCTTTTATCCACATCAAGAGGCCCTTCAGTTTCTCTTCACTTTCTGCCATTAGAGTGCTGGAGTGCAACCTATGATGAGTCTTACTGTCTGTCAGGGGTGCCATGGGTTGTTCCACAAATAACCCACAGTGTCTAGCTTATTTGCAGGGTGGGTTGTGAAGGCCCCCAGGAGCTATTTAAATGGGAGCAGGAAGTCCAAATGGAAATACTCTTTTTGCCTAAATAGGCAAGGAAATCACAAAGAAAGCTATGTCAGTTTTGAAGCCAGTATATGCAGTATCAAGATTTTGTACCATGTATTGCCTGATAGCCATTTGCTAGCATCCAGCAGCATTATTTCTGGAATACATAACCAGGAATGTGGCTTTCCATGCTCAGGAACACTTCACATATTCTACAGCTATAGACTCTTGCTGCCCTGCCCTTCACAAGCACCTTCAGCAAGTTTCACCATGAAATTAAGTTACTCATCCACATCCCCAAAAGTGTTTTTATCCTGCAAACAAGAAAAATGTACATTTGTGAGTACATCTTACAACATGCATCTAAATCAAACTTTTTCCCCATTGGTTAAAGAATGAAAGTGCATAAGGCTACTTCTCAAAGACAACAAGAATGCTAAGGACAGTTAAAGAATAAGGGGAAGATCAATATGAGATGGGTCAATTCCGTAAAGGAAGCCTTGGGTTTATAAGAGCTGAGCAGGGCTGTCGGGGGCAGGACATTATGAAAGGCATGCACTCCTAGGCTTTCCATAAGTTGGAAATCACTGTACATAACATTTTCAAATTTGCATTTTCTACTACATACTATACATTGTACAAGAGGTAGCAACTAAAACCATCCCAAAGAAAAAAGAAATGCAAGAAAGCAAAATGGCTGTCTGAGGAAGCTTTACAAATAGCTGAGGAAAGAAGGGAAGTGAAAGGCAAGGGAGAAAGATATACCCAATTGAATGCAGAATTCCAGAGAATAGCTAGAAGAGATAAGAATGCCTTCTTAAATGAACAGTGTAAAAAAATAGAAGAAAACAATAGAATAGGGAGGACCAGAGATCTCTTCAAGAAAATTGGAGATATGAAGGGAACATTGCATGCAAAGATGGGCATGATAAAGGACCAAAATGGCAGGGACCTAACAGAGGCAGAAGAGATTAAGAAGAGGTGGTAAGATTACACAGAAGAAATATACAAGAAAGAGCTTAATGTCCCTGATAACCACGACGGGGTGGTCACTGACCTCAAGCCAGACATCCTGGAATGTGAAGTCAAATGAGCCTTAGGAAGTCTGAGCAACAACAAAGCTAGTGGAGGTGACAGTATTCCAGCTGAGCTACTCAAAATTTTAAAAGATGATGCAGTAAAAGTGCTACACTCAATATGCCAGCAAATTTGGAAAATTCAACAGTGGCCACAGGATTGGAAAAGGTCCGTTTTCATTTCAATCCCAAAGAAGGGCAATGCCAAAGAATGTTCAAACTACCGCACCATTGCACTCATTTCACATGTTAGAAAAGTTATGCTCAAAATCCTACAAGCTATGCTCCAGCAGTATGTGGACCGAGAACTACCAGAAGTACAGGCAGGTTTCGAAGAGGGAGAGGAACTAGAGATCAAATTGCCAACATACACTGGATCATGGAGAAAGCTAGGGAGTTCCAGAGAAACATCTGCTTCATTGACAATGCTAAAGTTTTTGATTGTGTGGATCACAACCAATTGTGGCATGTTCGTAAAGAGATGGGAGTACCTGACCATCTTATTTGTCTCTTGAGAAACCTATATGCAGGTCAAGAAACAACAGTGAGAACTGGACACGGAACCACTGACTGGTTCAAAATTGAGAACCACTGATTGGTTCAAGGCTGTATACTGTCACCCTGCCTATTTAACTTATATGCAGAGCACATCATGAGAAAGGCGGGCCTAGAGGAATCACCAGTTGGAATTAAGATTGCTGGGAGAAATATCAACAACCTCAGATATGCAGAGGATACCACTCTCATGGCAGAAAGTGAAGAGGAACTAAAGAGCCTCTTGATGCGGGTGAAGGGGGAGAGTGCAAAAGTTGGCTTGAAACTCAACATTAAGAAAACTAAGATCATGGCATCCGGTCCTCTCACTTCCGGGCAAATAAATGGAGAAGAAATGGAGGTAGTGACAGATTTTATTTTCCTGGGCTCCAAGATCACTGCAGATGGGAACTGCAGCCAAGAAATTAAAAGACGCTTGCTCCTGCGGAGGAAAGCCATGGCAAATCTGGACAGCATCCTAAAAAGCAGAGACATTACCCTGCCAACAAAAGTGTGTATTTCCCAGTTGCAATGTGGGAAAATGTGGCTGTGAAAGCTGGACCATAAGGAAGACTGAGCGCCAAAGGATTGAGGCCTTTGAATTGTAGTGCTGGCGGGGACTCCTGTGAGTCCCTTGGATCGCAAGGTGATCAAACCAGTCAGTCCTAGAGGAGATCAACCCTGACTGCTCTTTAGAAGGCCAGATCCTGAAGATGACACTCAAATACTCTGGCCATCTAATGAGAAGGAAGGACTCCCTGAAGAAGAGTCTAAAGCTGGGAACAATAGATGACTTTAAAATGTTAAAGTGTGATATAGTTAAAATGTCATTGGTTAAAGTCTTGAGTGAATGGCTCTGAAGAATTCACTCAGTGTATTCCATATTAATCAATATTACTGTTGGTGTAATTTCTTGTAAACTACCCAGAGCCTATGGGAATGGGGCAGTATCTAAATATTTGGATGGATAGACGGACGGATGGATACAGCAAGCAAATAGAACAAGAAAAGAAAATTTGAACCAGTCATCACACTATAACGATACAACTTTTTGCAACAACATTGCATGAAACAGTCATCAGAAGGTTTGGACTGCAATATCCCAATAAGTTCCCTGCTGTTGCTTATTTTTTAATTGCTGGGTTTGGTTTTTTTTCAGTTTTTAGTTTTTGCTTCTTTCTTTGTTATTTTAGTTTTTGAAGCCTGTCTTGGTTTCATTATGTTTTAGTGTTGTTTGCTGCTTTGGGTGTTTCCTGAAAGTGGCCACCAAGTATTTTGAATAACTGAATGAAAAAAGATTGTGGAGCAAATGTGTCTTGCTTCAACATTGCAGGTTTGCAGAAGTTAATTAAGCATTGCCATTTACTGGAAAAGTGCCTGGCCTCGGACCTGTGGGAAGCAGAATAACAGTGGTATAGGCCAATGGATCTGAAAGAGTGTAATGAACCGAAATTTTACTCATCTTTTCAATGTTATGAATCATAGTGCTGGAAAAAGACCTGAAGGTGATCAAGTCCATCTTCTGCCCTGAAGCAGGATTGTGCACGTACAACCTCCTCATTGAGTATGACTGCGTCTTTGTGCTATTTGATGGAGATCACTGAACCCTTGCTCTTGCTCAATATTCATTAGTCAAAGCGATAAAAAGCCCTTTTTAATTGACTAAGCAGCTGTTCGTATCTTTGATTTGTCTTTGTCAAGCCTAGATCCTAGCAATAAAACTATATTCACACATCCCCTTTGGTAGCACAGCGGTGAAGTACCTCAGGCCTGGAAGCTCAATTTACTGGAAGCCCCAAGGGCTCAGTCTGGCACTTTAGGGTTCCCAGATGGTTACACTTGCAATCCACCTGCCAAACGTTTGGCGCTTTGCCCCTTTTGCTTGTTTTCCCATTCTAAAAGGGTTGAAATGTTTCTCCCAAGACAGGGACCTCTGATGCCCCTGCAGTCAACTCCCAGACACCCAATTTTCATTCTTTAAAATGTAAAACATAATAATAAAGGCTGGAATACTGTGAAGTGAATGGCTACCCTTCAGTTCAAGTGTTATCTGGGTTCAGAAAAATGGTTTTGTGCTTTGAAGCTATGATTCCACCTCTACTTTGTACTGCAACTCCTGTGCAAGTTATTCTTTTATTATCACCAGTGTGCCTTTGGGAAAATGGGTACTTTTTGGCCACGCTCACTATGGCATCTATTTTACGAATGGCCAGTGACCCCATGGCAACCATTTTGTGAGACACTTTTCCACGCTTTTGCCAAGATTCTAGATGCTTGGAAAAATGGGAATGTGTGAGCCATCTCCTTTCACAGCTAGCTAAAAACTCTGGTTCCTTTTAAAACTAGTTTCTTGGCAAGTCTACCAGTGGTTGTTTGACAGGGTCTTCTGCAGGCATTGATGCAAAAGCATAAAGCATCTAACAATAGTCATGTCCTCCTCCCAGCAAAAAGAACCCTGAAAGATGTTTGTTTGGATATTTTTATCCCGTCCAATTATGTT